ATGTTTTATGCAAAACAAACAAAATCTCCTTGTCTAAAACAACATTTTGATAGATTTTAGTACCACAACTTGTAGTATCATCTAGAAATAACACTTACTTGTTCTGTATCATAGGCAGTAGCAACATGTTGATAGACTCGATAGTGTACCCGAACAAGCCGAGCCTCTTGTCTGAGAGGCCCGTGATCACTCCGTTGGCGTGGCCGTTCGTACCATTCGATACTACGGTACCGTTGTCTGATGCCACGGATTTGTGGATGTCTTCCATTGTTATCTAGAATTGTAATGGTTATGTAAAGTGTGTTTTAAATGCAAGCAATAAGGTTTGGAATGTTTTAAAGGATGTTTAAGTAACAGGTTCTTTTATCTATTTAAAAAGGTCTGGGTAGTTAGGTAGATATAAATGCAATAAGTAGTTTATGGATGAGGCTGTATGGTCGTTGCATTTAACCCATACATTTAAATTGTTATAAAAGATTTTCGCTCTAGAATCTAAGGTGCATTCCTTGGCACAAGATGACTGTACGTTTAACTCATTATTATTTAAAAATGTATTTTTATCCTTTAAAACATTTCATACAATATTTCTAGTCACTAACAACTACAACAACTAAAATATACCTAAAAAGCCTCACTTAGAAATTCTGAACACGTATAAAGCTAACACGACGCCCGTATTGGTCCTCTCAGTCGTGGATTTAAGGTTGAATATTGCTTAACAAAATTACGTAAAACATGAACTCAATGTTAGATGAAGCTGGCTTTATGTTATACATGCATCGTCCATTACGGAGTAAAGTACGCGATTTGCTTGTTGTATAATAACCACAAAAGTATTAGACGTTAATACAAATTGATATTATTACGAATTTTATAAACCATGTTTTGATTTGGTTTACAAACTATGTTCTGACAAAATCATAATTGAAAACATTTTAACTCTGATCTGAGTGCTTACTCTTGAAACCAAACTCGATTAAATAAAAATCTCAATAACCTTATCGTAGCTGTTAAAATAGCAATTACAGAGAACGGAAAATAGAGCCAAACTCAATACCATTTAGTTCATTAAATATTCACGCAATATGGAAGCAATGCTAGTATTGCAACTCAAGAGTACGAAATCTCACAATGTCAATGTCAATTGATCGGAATTGGATTCAAGAGTAAGCCTCCTGTGTTTGGTTATTTGAATATTTTTGTGATTACTTATACCCAAGTCTAAAACAATATCCGTTTCTTTCGGCTAGACTGTCCCTCGATAGTATAAGGCAAGATTTCAGTATAATACCCTGCCTTATTCATTGAGTAGTAATGAAAATAAACAGCAATTTCGAAAATCCTTCACGCCCCATGCGTCTAACCAAACTCACCATCTGATTATATGTATTAATGATATCCCCACGTACCGTAATGCATAGAAAAGAGAAACAACAGTTAGATATGTTGATGTGTTCGAATAATTGTGGTATTCTATCGCGTTTTGTTATTGCAAAATGAACTCAATTACTATTAAAATACAATTTATTTTTTATGACTTTAGAGTCACAGTACAGACAATAATAAACTTTACCATATTCATCATAGAGAGTTCAATTTGCAGTACACAAATTGAATGAATATTTGTAAAAATACGCCAAGAAAGTTCACATAAACGTGTCACCAATCACCATATTATGAAAATAATGGTAGTAATGAGAGAATAGATAAACATAATATAGGTAACAGTAATAGAAGTCAAAATTTAGTTTTACCTTATCCCTAAGCCATTCGGAATGAGGTCGGCTTCGTGCGATCTCCATCTTGAGTTCAGCATCCTGTACAAGTTTCTTCTCAACGGTGTCCACCAACAACATACGGCCGGGTTTTAGACGACTCTGCAATATTCGATAAAGTTAAATTAATTATTCATTTCTCTATTTAATTATACTACAAAATACAAAGTTTTAAAAACAGTGAGCTGCGCGACATCACCGCGACCGCGCATGCTGCTCATGAGGAAGAACCCCTCTGTGGTTCGAAACTAGTAGAGCTTTACTCAGTATTTTCAATTGAGTAATCCGCAATTCTTAGTTGATTCAGTGTCTCACGATAGTTATTATAAAATCAAAGACAAACTTAAAATTATTATAATTGAGGCTACGCTCAGAGGCATGAACGGCATGATAGTGTCCACTACAGAATCAAACTTATAATAAAAATATTTTGTAAATGCCCTGTGAACCCAAGGGCGACTTCTGAATGGCCTGTTCCTCGTGGATGGTTTGAATTTATTACATGGAATTTACAGAACTGGTAAAGTCGAGACTGGGTGTAACATAATAAGGTTTCTCTCACCTTGAGTATGACCTTGTCAGGGTCTACATCATAGACTCCGACTTCGGAAGCCATGACCAGCACGTTTTCGCTCGTCACGTAGAAGCGGGAGGGACGCAGGCCGTTTCTGTCCAAGATGGCGCCTGGAAAAAATACAAACATTATTATTTGTTGAGGTAATTTGTAAATTATGTGGTAATGCATTGCAGCAGGCGTTTGAAAAAGGTTACGTATCTAACTGATTATTTATTATAACCAAAACATTTTTATAACTTAAATAAATAACAACACGTAATTTTTTACAAATAAATTAGTTTTGTTTTAAGTTTTTTAATGTGGCCCACATTATAATTGTTTTAAGTCGCTGAACGCACACTGAGTATCTTAACTTCATTATTTCCCGACAGTTATAAAGCTAAAGCTAAGTTTAGAATTTACGCAGGTTGTATAACTTACCGATATACCGTCCATCAGTAAAAGACACAAGAGCAGGTCCGTCCCAAGGCTCCATACAAGACGAGGCCCATTGGTAATAGTCCCTCTTTTCCTTAGGCATAGTGACGTCATTCTGCCAGGCTTCAGGCACCATCGTCATCACAGCTTCTGGCAGGGACCGCTGGCCAGCATGGAGTAGGAACTCGAGGACACAGTCCGCTGAACCGGAGTCGGAGAGATTTGGCTCCACGACTGGGTAGAGCTTTTTGAGGTCTGTAGGTTGAGAGATTGTTATGGAAATTGTGCTTTTAAGATATTAGGAATAAAGTTTAGATTAGGTCAATGTGTTGTACATGTGCATTTGCACAGTAAACATGTTTGTAACTAGTTACTAATTTTGTGTTGCTCACCATCGCCAAAGATCTCGCTCTTCATGACACCTTCGCGAGCCTTCATCAGGTTGACGTTACCTCGCAACGTATTGATCTCGCCATTGTGAGCGAGGACTCTGGAATACAAAGAAACAATCATCAGATAAAAGTTCCATAAAGTTTCCAGTTTCTTTCGGTGCACTTTTACAAATCGCGCTTATGGGTATTGTAAAACTTTATTACGTGTATGTTTGTATACCAACCTTAATGGATGTGCCCTCTCCCAGCTTGGGAAGGTATTGGTGGAGAATCTGGTGTGTACCAGCGCCAAGTAGGTAGTGAACGCTGGGTTGTTCAAATCCTTGAAGTACTCCTGCAATAAAGAAAGGAAAATAGTCAATACCTATCATATGTATAAAGGTTCTTCTACGAACAAATCTTTCTTACAATTTTATTATCATTTCAATAAGGGATATTTTCGTAAGTTGTCTAAGTGGATTATTTGCTTACCCATAGTTGCTGCGAAGTCAAAAGTCCCTTGTAGACGACAGTCTTGAGCGCAAGACTGCAGATGTAGAACCTGGCTCCAGGGACTACCAGCTCATGGGACGCACGCTTGCGGAGCACGAATATCTGAAAGCAGGCGTTTACACTACACACCTAGAAAATACAGCGAACGGTGGGATGCCTGTATGGAAAAGATGGCTCTCATATCTTGGATTAAGACACTTTTTTCATTGATGTGGTAATTGTGTTACGTAATTATTGGTCCATTTAGTGTGACATCCAGCTTTTGTATACAAGCATCCCAAAGGGATTATGAAAGGGTTTGTAAAATTTACGTTTGGCACGAAGTGGTCGCGTCCGGCCGGCCAGTGCGCACGCAACGATCTGAAAAAACACCTATAAGAGTTCCTTACGTCCTAGTACCGCGCTTACACTAACAAGAGAATGAATTTGCAACATGCTACGTTGCAAGTTCATACTCCCCATACCCTCTCTCTCTCGCTCCGGTTAGCTCCGTCTCGTTCTTACCTGTCTGGCTAGTTGTTCGTCGTCGGTATCTCCGGTAACAAACACTTGACGCATATATGGCTCCGAATTACGAGCCACTTGACCTGAAAGCGAGCCAAAACAGCCCATTACTAACTTCACCAGGGGAATGTGTCAAGTTTATTCTAAGAGAGTTATATCTTATTCATAAGCACATCTTCTAACACCACTTAATGGCAAACCAATTGAATTGTACGTAGAAATGTCATAAATGTTGAATGCAATTGTACTTGTGTGTAATTGAACTGAACTGATGGCGACATTTATGACAATCTGAATGATGGTACACATGATTACATTACCATTTAAGCGTTATTAATGACAATGGCTAATCGATTTGTTTAACTTAAGATTCAACAAAAACTGATTTGTGGAAAACATTAAAATAAATAATACATAGCTAATGTTTGTCTAATGAATCTCAAGTTAAAGTTTTAAGTTATACTAAGAAATAATCAGAATCTTTTAATTTATACCACTATGTGTACTGTCCAGGCATCAAATTATATTATTCTCTCTTAATTATTCCATTGATTGATATAATTTACTTGTTTGTATCTTTCGATGCGTGCGACAGTACGTAACATAAATATTTTATTACAGTTATCCAAGAGTATTCACATGTTTGGGAATGTTGTATGACTATTTTCTATCGTTGAATAAATGAAAACATACTAAAAGTTAGACTGTGAATACTCTTAAAAAATTTTAGATATAAGAATTTACTATGCGTTGTAGAATCACTTAGGACATGTAAAAAGTATTAAACAACGCCGTAACACAAATTGTCTGTGCCTTGTTACGTAATAAAAAAAAATTGACACTAGAAATTTGCACTACTGCTTCTAGTGAGTCAACAACGCATAGCTCCGAATCTAATGTCAAATCGAACAAACCGTTTGGTCAAGCATCGCATGACCGCGTTCAGCCGCGTTTAAACGACCCGACATTACTACGAGAACGACCTGGAATGATAGTCGCAAACAAAAATCGCAACGCCGAAACTGGCCTTATATCGAGCGACGAACTTAAATGGACAAGTCGTCAGTGATTGGCAGGACAATATAAATGATAATGCCTTTGAACCTACTAAAATTTCACTGAAAGCCTTTTTATCATTTTCCAATAATGGCAGATATAATAAATGCGTCACATATCAGGATCCTTGTGCCGAGGAAATTTATGTCGTATCTATTGAGTGTACGGTTCATAATGGAAACTTTACGAGTCATGGAGCCATTCAGCCAATCGTTCCAATAAGATTTAAATTAAATCAGTGATTGTTCTCAACTCGTCAACTATTCCCATTGGCTGTGATTACTCTGGCGCCATGTTATTTAGCAGATAGGTCCTGACTTCTACGTCCTATTTAGACATTGTTTCAGCTTCATCAAAAAGGCTCACAGTATCTCTCAAAATTGTTGTATTCTTGACTATATCCAAATTTTGAATTATTAAATAAATTATGTTTAGAACTGAACACATAACACATTTAACTAATGTTGTTTTGTAAATTGTATTTTCTATATTACAATTTTTGTTTTAGCACCAAAAATGAAATTAAAAATAAAGGTAACAAGTTGAAAAGTTAAATAATATCTAGAAAATTGTGTCAATGCCGAAAGTTTTAATAGCTTGGCAACTTAATTTACTTGCTTGCCTCGTTTTGAAAGTACCGCGCTTTAATTCAAAAAGTTAATTTTGTAGTTTGCCCCTTTCAGAAGTAGCATAAAGGTTTAATACTTTTGTAGTTATGCATGTAAATTGGTGCCAATCACGAGAAACAACATTGCTTAAATATGTTTTTATGTTGGAAAAAACTAACAAATAGTTAATATTATGATTCTCATTGTAAAACTTCCAGAGAATTTATTATAATTTGGCTAACTCTATTAGGCATCATCCAATTGAATGTTTTACTAATATACGGACACAGATTACAAAAAGCATGCAATGTGGCCCCATCAAAAATGCTTTACCCAAAATTATATATTTTATCTATTTCCATGCATGGAACCCATGAGACATGATTCATATGAACTGTTATAACAAGCTCAAATTTCACATAAAATGTCCTACATGTCCTAACTATCAATTGGTTACAAATTCCAAGATATCTTACCGATGGTGGAGTTGTTGGTAGGGACGGTACGCCAGCATAGTACAGTCAGTCCAAGGCTCTCGGCCAGTTCACCGAACTTCTTCTCAATTTCCTGATGGTGGAGCTTGTCCAGGAAGAAGATGCCGGTGGCATATCTACCGAAGGGCGGCAAGTCGATCTGGTGAGTGTCTCTGGAAATGAGAAAATGAGGTTTATTTATGAGTATTGTGTCCTGAAAAATTTACATTTAATTGCTGTGTGATTCGAATTAATTAAGGTTAAACTACTGCTTATCTATGCTAATCATACTTGATATTTAAAAGAATTAAGTGAATTTGTATGCAATTTACGTTCATTGTCTACTGTTTTATTGGATAGAACTAGAATTTTATTAGCCCGTGCCGAGAGCTGATGACATATTTTGAGATCATGTGCAATGAAGTCGGTTTTTTTTTTAAATTATTAAATTAAAAATCTTTATTATTACCAAAGAGATCACATTTATTATATTTCTAGGATCATGACTGTGGCCAGAGCAAAAGGGCCCTGACTTCTAAACTAGGTAAAAACCTGTATCTTAGAAGTCAGTGTACATACGAAAATGTTCTAATATTTCATCAGCATTATAGAATCTTTATTTATCAAATAACTACAAGTAGCTCAAGTCAATTGCACAGTAGGTATCATTATTGTTAACAATTTTTATTATAGTTTTGTTTATATATAAAGTTTACTTGCGTCGTATTCCGTACGACATTCCGATAACTCATGGTGGTAGTTTACATAAACATGTAATGATTGGGTTATTTGGAGATGTTGAAATAGAAATAACAAACCACGTGTTGCTCTGTAAATCAAAGAATTTATTTAACAAAAACATAACATATTTAGGTACACTAACAATCTAGTAATAAAATAATAATGATCATCTCACCTGTAAATCAAAGAAACAACGATTAAGCCTATTATTTAATTCCAAATTTCCCCTTTTATCTATTTTAATTACTTTCCGTAAAATATTCAATTATCACGTCTCTTGTTTTGACAGTTCTCAATCCATAGATTCTAAATGTTATCTATGGTAACATAAAAAAGTTTAATTACTTAAATCTCATATAAACAATAATTATTAAAGAAAATATAATTTCTTTACAACTCCCCCTTCCCAAAAAAAAAAATTTTTTTTTTTTTAACTGTTACACAATAGTTCAAATAAACTGATTTGTGTTAAAATAACATAATATAATTCTCTTATATACTCAGTTAAACTAACAATAATATATTCCTAACTTAAGTTATAATAAACGATATAAATCACCTTCTTAATTAGGTAGGTAATGGAATGAGTTTAGTGATATGAAACAGATTTGATTCAGATTTTTTATGACCTGTATCTATGTTATATATAGAATTTGTAATTTTTTTAATAATTTTATACGGACCAATTTTTAATTCATCTAATTTATGTCTATTCAATTTGTTACCGTTTTCTACATAAACCATATCCCCTGTATTGAAATGACAGTGAATTCTATTTTTATCATATCTCTTTTTATTGTTGTTATGTGATTTTAATGAATTTTCAAACGCTGTTTTCTTATCTTTTATCCAATCAACTTCTGTTTTATCTACTTTTAAATCGTTTGGTAAAAAAGAAACGTCTGTACCGTCTAATAAGTATTTTGGTGCAAATCCTGTAACTGTATGTTCTGTATTATTATATTTATCTACACAGTCATGGGCAATGGTTGTCCATGCTTTTTTATTTTTATTACTCTCATTTAATTTGCATCTTATTTTATTAACAAGCGTTTGGTTAAGCCGTTCGTTTAAACCGTTAGAGAACGGGGAATTTACAGCAGTGAAAATTAAAGGTATAGAATTTTTATTCAAAAATGCTTTAAATTCCTTCGAGTTTATTCCCGGGTATTGATCAGAGAGAACCATCCCTATAGTATCAGATTCTGCTACCTTATTAATAAGTTTTATAAAATCATTAGCGTTTTGTGTCTTTGAAGTAAGAATGTAAGCATATCGGGTAAAGTGGTCGACTAGAAGGTGCAGGTACTTTTTTGTTGATCTTGAGCCACCAAAACCTCCAATTGTATCTATTGAGACAATTTCAAAAGGTTTTGTGGCTGGACCTAACTGTGACAGTAGACCATATTTTGTTTTTCCTCTGCTTTTATTTTTTATACAGATTTCGCAGCTTTTACAATGCTTTCTTATATTTGCAGATAAATGTTTTGCTGTATATAATTTACTTATTTTATTTTGCATTTGCTTTATACCTAAGTGGTACATGTTTTCGTGTAAATATTTAATAAGTTTTTTACTATAATCTTCTGATAAGACAATCTTTTCTTTATTTTTAATATTTTTATAGTATATTTTATGTTTCAGTATTAACTTTAATTTATTATTTTGTAAGTCTAAATTATTTTCTTGATCTGTAATAATATCATTTAATTTTATCATGTTTACAATTTTTAACTGTTCATCTTCATCTTCATTTGCATTTAATACTGGATTCCTACTCAAACAATCTGCTTCAGTGTTTCGTTTACCTGGTGCATATTTTATTATAAAATTGTATTGTGATAAATAATAGGTTAAAGCCCCTAATTCATCATCTGTCCTAGATTTAATATTTAAATTTTCTAGTGGTTTATGATCAGAATACACAATAAATGTTTTACCTATAAGCCAATATTGCCAAAATCTTATAGCTTCCTTTACAGCTAGGCATTCTAAGTAAATTGCTGGT